TCTGGGTCTTCTCATGCGACGACGCAAGCCACGCGAGCAGGCACTTTCCCGGCGGCTACTCCGTGAATTGATCTCAGCCCGTACGGGCCACGGAAACTTCCCGGCATGTCACCGCCGTTTCAACAACTTCGCAGCTTCAATGGAGTGTGCGTGTGGGGAGGAAACATCACCTCTCCATTTCATTCAATGTCGACTGCACGCACGCGAGACGCGTCGACTACGAGGTACAATGTCACATCACGACTTTGTCCACAAGCTTCTTGGGCCTAAGTGCCTCGAGAACTTTACAAAATTTGCGCAGGAAACCGGCTGCTTCGGGGGCCCACCTACGGATCTGTCTCCAGCTCTCAGCGGAGACGGTGGTAATTAGTCATAGCACGATGTATGGCAGGTAGGAAAACGAGACGAGAAGTGTCGTTTTTCTAACCACAAACTGGATTACTGGGCTTGGAACTTTAGCTATGGGAGTTTCTATTTTTCTTTCTTTTAACTAGCTACTGGTTGTGTAGTGGTTCTCGCGGTGAAACCGAGGTGAGCATGCGGAAAGCATGATCTCGGCCGTGTACACCGGTCTTTGACTCCTAGGAGATATAGAGCACAGCTTAGGACCCTAAAACAATTCAATTCAATTCAATCAATAACGGCATTTTGGAGTCGGCAAAGATGAATTATTCACCTTCCAGTGGTGCCGGTGTAATGGTTCAGTATGCTCTGCAGATCTAGGATAGCCAATCTGAATACAAGTCAAAATTAACCTCTATCACATCTAAAATCAACGACTTCTCGTCAATGTTGGACCTACCATTCTCACGCGAGTCCTCTACCTCAATCTTACTACACCACCTCGCCTCAAATAGCGATAATGGCGTTACTCCAATTACAGTCGTGTTGGAAATCTAGACTCAGTATGTATGAAGGTTTAGATTTCTAGGTATGATCATCAAGATCAATTTAACTGATTCGATTGCATATGATTAAGCTTAGCTAGGCGACATGAGGCTCAGCGGTATCTGAAATGTAGTAGCTAGGAAATGCTACCTTGTGATAATTGAGTGGCTGGTTGTTGCCAGATCACCGGGAGTTCGGGATCACTAAAGCTTTGGGAATCTGTATTTAAGGATAGAATTATTTGTTCATTTTAAACTAGGTTAACGGAATATTATACAGTATAAATTCACAATGAGAAGAGAGTCCTAAATCCTCCACAACTATCAACAAAGTCTTGTCTGAAATTGTACACTTCTTCTTCGAGATACTTCCTCCTAGAAATCCTTGAAAATTTCACACAAATCGGGCATTTGTCTCATTAAAAATCGGCCATCTTCCACTACACATTTACGATGCTATGTATACCTGCGAGGGAGAAATTAAGTCATAATCTACAAAGCCGGGGACTTGGTCTATGGGGCTTCACATCTTGAGGGAGGATAGGCAGCTGGGACGTGGGACGAACGAGTGAAGAGGTCACAGATGGGCATGCTGGGACGCACATTTTTTGAGTATTTCCGACTTAAGGGTGTCTATGGGCACAGAGGCAACGATCTCGGATAGTGACAGGTAACTGGAAGCCTGACGTGTGACAGGCGAAGTGTATGTAAATAAAGTAAAATATAACTCAGTAAAAACAACTTGATTCCTATTTCTCCCGGAATTCTAGGACTATATACACTGATCATGATTGAATTGATCTCTTGATCTCTAAATACAGACATGCGCTAGGAATAGAATAACCTGCAGTTCTAAATACGGAATGCAAGCACTGACCGAAACAAACAACCCACGTTCTTATGGACAGTCCCTATTTGTGACCCGAGACATTTCCCTGTCCAACTTCTTCAGTGGTTATTTTTAGCCGTCGACAGATAGTGCTACCGACACTCTTAAAACAGGCAGCGATGGGAGGTGTTGTGGTCCGCCTCCTGTTCGTCATCTCCCCGAATTAAAGTCTAGGTAACCTAGACAACTACCTCACTCGAGAAAGGGAGGACTGTGAGGCCATATCTCGCGCGGCGGCTATATACAAGATGGCAAAGGCATGTTAGGGTAGCCGAAGGTTTTCATGTCTTCCTTTTGGTGGATATTAACGGTTGAGGGAAGGGTGAAAGTCCCTAGCAACAAGGTCTCGAGTGTTATCAGCGAATGTACCCACTACATTAGTATTCCAAATGTCAAATTGAGTTATCGTCGTTTATAATCGTCGGGGACGCCAGTATTCTCCTTGTCATGCTCTTTAAGTGCAGGGCTTGTGCCCGTCACAAATAAACTTTCGTTCATTCATTCGGGAAAGAGTTGTAAGAAGGCTAGAAAGGCAGAGAGTGAACTTTCCGAGGTGCCCTCAAGTCTGCAGCACCTAGCTGGCTGGCTTCTTTGAACGCTTCAAGAGGATCATGATGTCCTCGGATTTGGTCCTGCTGTCGGTATTAGGAGAGCTCCGCACCCAGTGGGTTTTACGATTTTCCCCGGCTGCCATACACCGGCAAGTGGCCATCGTTTATTTTTTTTAAATCATTAAGTGTCGGCCATCGTTTCGTTGGCTGGAGAGGGGAGATTATGAAGGGTAAAGGGCTCCTCTAAGTGTATGATCGTATGAGGACTTATGAGGGGTGGTACTGTTTAAGGGGAGCTGTATGGGAGGCACACGAGGGGATATACTACTGTTATAGGTATCCTTGACCTGTAGGCAGAGAGGACCTGCATGTCCTACATAGTCACAGACTCAGACAAGACAATAAAATGAATTATTAAAAACACGTTATAGCAAGGGTAGGAAGTCCGATAACTGTCTTCTAAACATCCAACCTTCTTCTTACTAGGACCAGGCGCAGCCCGTAACCCACTCTCAGTGATCAGCTTCTTTATTTTGAATGGTGACAACTTGCAGCGGTCATATTCTTGCCTCAGCCGGACAAAGAGCCGGTGGTCTTCTTTAAGAAGGTTCTTGTGTTAGACTGTATGGGTGCATGGGGCCTTGTTGGGTTTGGAAGAGCGGGTGGATTCTGGAGCTTAGCAACTTTGCGAGCCACTGTGACCGTTTTGGTACTTCGTGTTCTAGTTTATCCGCTATTTTGGTGGTCTTAGGCACGGAAAGCGTTAGTTTGCCTCAGATTTGGATTGAGTATGCAGCTAGTTAGCTATTACACAATATCACAGAAAAAGTCCAGAACAGGTGGCTTGATTAAAAACTAGAGCACTCATGCCTCGAATTTTATTTACAAGTACCACTGCAAAGTTACGGCGAATTTTTCTCCTCCCAAAGTCAAACCTCAGCTGTTAGTACTCACCCAGAGAATCGTTTCAAAAACTCCGAGTTGTCTACATATGCCTCAATCATCTGTTCAGTTGTCTCAGCACGAATTAGTACCTGAGATGTCCTCTCGAATGGATTACCTCTCAAGGCAATTCAAACTATATCGGAGATCACCACCAGGAGGTGGACCACGGCGCATTCTATCGTTCGCTTTCTCTTATATCATTTGATGTGTATGTGTTACAGGCTGCGCCTATCTCCTGGTGACTGTCGCACGGACACTTATCATGATCACGTCATTAGCCTAGCTGTCTAGAGAGATGTCCAACTTGACCATACAAATATAGGGTTGCAACAAATATAGAAACAGGATATTGTTGCAGCAAGTCTCATATGGAATCATGGGCCAACACGACCTGGACTCGCTATGACGAGCCTACTCGGAATATCGAGGATATGGTGTAATAGAACAGATAGTGAGATTAGCGCATTGGGAGTTGGTACTCAATAAGTAGCCTCCCCTCGGTGGACAGTTCCGAGATGTTTGTAGAAAATAGACAGTAATCGGCCACTATTCCTCTGCTATGTTATTTTGTTGATCGCCCATCACAGTATGCAGCTATAGAGCTATAACGCATGACCGGTGCAATGTATACATGTTGGATAACTCTTTTGACGTTAGAGACACTCATACTCTGGATTTCATTCGCAAATACCACTATGAGGTATGCTTGCTTACACAAACAATCGACTCTCATCCGTAAGTACCCACCAAAGGGAATTTCAAACCCTTTGGTTATCCAAGCATGCCATCGTCATCCGTGCATACTAGCCCCGCGAGAAATGTGGTTGTGTTTTGCCGGATTTGAACCGGCAATCTACTGTCTCGATTGGGATATGTGTCCAAGTTGTCCAGACTCTACTTGGCAGACCGGCCAAGACGATGTACCACCGCACCATCCAACCATGGCGGTGTTTATAGTGTCGCCTGCACTCTCACAACCGAAGTCTTGGCACGCACAAAGCTCAATTTGTAAAAACTTCTTGCCAAAATTTGAAATTTCACGCCCGTCGATATTGTATCCATCATCTGCATCATCTGCATCATCTTATTAACTTGTCCTAAATCCTCTCACACCCATCCCATAGAACCGTCTCCTAGATTTGTGCGCCACGTTTTGCTTCCCCCATCGGATGTAAATATCGGCGTAGGCGTGCATTTGGTGACCAGCTGAGGCCAGAGAATAGTCGACGAGAGTTGTAGTCATGGGAATGAGGATGAGGATGAGGATGTACTGGGTCGAATTTGTAGACATGATGAGGCTTAGGTAGTGTCAAACTCGTTGGGAGTGAAAATTAGACGTGTTGGAGTAATTTGAATCATTGCCTCGTGGGTCAACTTGTTCGGTATTGCGGAATTTTACTGAACTTGGCTCTGGGAGAATATTTCACTCCCAGGTTCGTAGAACACGGCGTACAGGTGTTCGGTCTTGCCCTGCGATACTGGAATAGATGTACTGTTACGCATGGATTGGATTTGTAATGAATCTTAGGAATATTGATGGCTGTTAACCCTTCACTGGAGATCATTTACACACGCCCTTTGTAAGAATTCATTAACCTGATCAGTGCACGTACGAATACGTAGAGACCTCGTACTATATTTAGCTTAGTCATATTGCTAGCCTATCTCATCTACTGCATCTTATCATTCAGACTGGCTGATCATCGCCCAACACTGATAGCCTCACACATGGCTGGCAAGTTTAATATTGAGACAGAAAATATAAAGTCATTTTATGGATTGCCTGACGAACTAATTCAACAGATTTTATTCTATTGCACGCCAAATGACATACTTTACGTTCAGCGTGTATGTAAGAAGCTTTACCAACTTGGAGGCGAGCCACTACTTTGGCGACATCATTGTTTGGTAGATTTTGACCACTGGGATGCAAAGCACAAAATATGCGAAAAATTTACGGAGCCCTCGGAGGGGGTAAATTGGAAGATGTTATACAAATATCGCAATCATGTTGACGTGAAGACAGCCAAAGTGTTCGAGAGTATTCTTCACTCGCAAGTAAACCGGGTCTCTAAATATCAAACAATCGCTGACTTTGGCTATGATGCCAAAGACACTTTGCTTCGTCACTGTATTGAAAGCAAAATTTCCGACGATTCTTTATCCAGAAGGTCTGTAACTGATTCAAAGGGAGGTTACCTTCTCATCCGTTAACAGGTATTATGCCAAATCTGTCCTCGATTTTATTCACCGATGTAAAGCACTAGAAGTATGGCAAGGTATACTGGACGGTGAAAATATACCACTCGAGGTAGCCGTAGGTTCATTTGACATGTTTACTTTGCACGATGAACCGGGTGATCTTTATGCGGTATGGCCCTTTCACAACAAGCATATCTATGTATAAAATTAATATTTTCAATTAGATATCAGAAGTTTTTGAAAAGCTAGCTGAAAATTTTCGACTTCAGTGCCCTGGAGTCGAAAGCTTACCTACAAGGACGAAAGTAATAGCTTTAAACTCATTTTTTAAAAAACTAAACCTAAATGAACGAATATCTTCCTCGCCTTACTTGGATCTAAAAAACCACTACATTGGAACAGGTTTAAATAAACCCGGACATCCATTATCATCCTTAACCTGCGTTATTATATATTGTGCGTTAGGAAAGAAAATTGGACTTGACGCACGCGTGTGTAATATGCCAGGAAGTTCTTATGCAACAATATTTCCGAATCCTGGCGAGTCATTAGGATCTCCTTGCTTAGATGAAAAAGAGCTAGAAAATGAAATCGTATATTTAGACCCAAATCGATTCATGGAGCAAATCTCGATAACTACACTACGTCAAACTCTTTCTGGATTGGGACTTCCGCCTAAAAAAGATTCAGAATATCTAACACAGTTAGGCGTCTCTTCTATTATTCAACATATATCAAGATGTATTCTAGCCAGTGTTAGTCTTCACAAGACTCGGGACGGAAAGAACCTTATCCGAAGGTTCCTGCCCACAACCCAAGCCGAGTTTTATTCCGACATGGAAAATGCATATTACTCGGCGCTTTGGGCAAATATTATGTTCATAAATCATTTGAAAAATCAAGCTGATAAACTCAAGCAAAGGCGTCTTATACGTATACTTCTAGACGAATACATTAGCAAGTACCCAATGGACGGATCTCTTATTGAGAAGCATATCCTTCCGCTTCACGATAATTTCCAGGATCCAGAATTTTCCAGAATTACGACCACATTGAATTTTGTCCGAGCCTCCGATAAAACACCAAAGCGTACAAAATTATATCGATCAAACTTCAAAACTGTGAAGTATAAAGTTGGACAAGTGTTCAGTCATAAACGTTATAGATATATTGCAGTTATTACTGGATGGGGCTCAGAGGTCAGGGAAAGTAATGGAATAGATCCTATCTCCCAATCCTACCCTTTATCTCAAGACTGTAATCGACACTTCTACCATGCACTGTGAGATAAACTAATTTTATAATCTGAGTTATACTGACTAGAAACTAACTTAGCGCTGAAGATACTAGTATTCGCTACGTCTCAGAAGAAAATATTGAAATTATTAAGCCCGAGCAGCCATTATCACTTATGAGTCAAGCTGGAAAGTATTTCAAGCGATGGGATGCAAAGACTCATACTTTTATATCAGGAATTAAAGATGAGTACCCAGAGGATTAAATAAGTTAATTACTTTACTCATCTGAGAATATCTAACACGACCAAAATATGGGCCCACTTATGGGCCCTTGGTACCTACTTGAACCAAAATCCATGCCGGAGGAATTCATGCATCTTAGACTGACAGTTCCCGGATTACTCCACCGAACACGATAGCTTCTCAACAGACCAAAATCATGAAATCTCATGGGGATAGAATTAACGCGCGTAGAAGCATTTACGAAATTCTTTTCTAACCTTGAGATGAGCTTATGAAATTTTCATATTATATTTTATGATGGATTGGATAGTAGAGCCCCATCTAAATGCAGGCTTACGGTGGGTGTGATAACGCAAGTACAAAAATATACATCTCCGGCCATCACCCTGCGAATATTTGTAAGAACTGGTACTGTTGGCAAGGTGGTATGAAGGAGATAGAAGAGGTAATACTCTACTTAAGGTATAGGTATCTTAAGCATCCTGGCGGAGAAGATCCATATGACCTATATAGACGTAGATAGAGAAAGGACGAAATTATGCAAAACATCTCATCTTGCATTTCAAAATGCGGGTTTTTCGGGTTACGTGAATAAATATCAGTCGAAATTTTGGCTCTTGGATTTTCAAGGTCTTAAGCCAAAGTATTATGTCTCTATGTCTCTTTTGGTTACAGAATTGGTATAGTCATCGGGTATCTGATCACAGGCTCAACCCACCTATACCACAGGTAACGCTACTAGACAAGTAGTGAATTGAGCAGCAACACAAAAAAATAATGGGAAAATATATGCCGAAATAAAAAAACCTCCCTTTTAGGGCTCTGACCCTCATGCTAATCACCTATCTATGTTCCCGAATTATCTCCCTACATACCTTATACATGCAATTATCTTCCAAGCACCAGTGAGAGTTGGTGATGTGTGCACAGATTTATTCCTTGGTTTGCAATCCTCTACAAGTTGAATTTTAGCCATTAACAGTTTAATGGTGAGTTTTTATGCCTCTTAACTTTCTTTGGTGTTCAGACCCCCATCGAAATATCCTTTGCAGAGCCATTTGCGGCGGCTACATTTTTAACGTAGCCCTGAGGTCTCCGAGCGCGTGGTGAACCTACAAATTTGTATGGCGTTTTTAGGAGATGATAAAACCTATGACATGGTCTTTCGCGGCTTAAAATTTGTAAAGGGACGGAATACAAGCTTCTTGCTGACGTATGCTCAAAACAGAATTTTTATTTTATCTTAAGACGATGATACCCCGGATGGAGGGGGACTATTCTCAACACCTGTCAGTGGTGTCTCCTACGAACCTCCAGCTCTCACTGTAGAGTCTGCAGAGCCGAGATTGAGTGACATCTTTTCAACTTTGAGCTGAGTGATCTCCCCCTCCGTTAAAGATTCGCTTCCGATAATTCATAAGACGACCAAGACGACGATAATGATACTGGGAATACTGTACCAAACGGTATAACGGTAGTCAGAGAAGCCCTCGTTAATATCACAACATGTGCTACCCACCGGCGGGCAAACAAGGAGCCCACGAAAGCAAAGTAGATTTCGACTCATCAATAAAATCGTCCCTTCTAATCTATACTTCCGAATCAACTAGCCAGGAGGGCATCTGGAATACAAAAGTTACCCGACGACCCCACGTCCGCAACGACTTTTGGATGCTAGCCTAGGCTCCTTCACGGCAGTCACTCTCGACCAAGACTTTTCTGACATCCTTTCACGACCTTCGATTTGTCCTGCGGCATAAATCAGAGGAGTAAGGAGGAGGTTAGGAAGGTTGAGAGATGCTCTTGGGTATACACAGGTCTGCTGCGCCCGGCTGGCCGGCCTCTTCGTCATAGGAGAGCCCCGCACCCAGTAGTTTTTGAGACTTTCCCTGCGGCTACACATCCGCAAATGGCCATCGTTTGGTTGGCTGGAGAGGGAGATAATGACAGGATGACGGCTCCTTTTAGTGTGTACTCGAATGAAGACCGGTGGGGGTATTACTGCTGGAAAGAAGTCGTGAAGGAGGCATAGATACTCCCGGCCTGTATGTAGGAAGGATCTACATGCCCTAACATAGTCATAGACTTTATAGTACCGAAAACACAAACAAAACCCTGGATAGATTTTCATGATGATAATACTGCGCGTCGCGTAAGGCGTCCCTTTTCATAAACAATAACAACGCTTGGCCACAAATGTGTTGGCGCTTGGCAAGGGACCGGATAAACTCCGGTTCCAGACTAACACGGCTACAGCCTGTAATAGAACCTTGCAGAGTATGTCTTAGAAGAAGGGGGCTCATGCCTCTTGTGGTCGTCGAGAGTCTTTTGAGATAGCTTGTCATAGATAGCGACATTTAGCAGGCCTGTAGTGCATAATATTTAAACCGGAGAGACCGATCGAAATATATTCCAAGTCGACGAGGGTGATCATTGGGCATTATGTTCGTTCATCTGATGTTAAGGGCAGGCTCTAGTGGTGCACCTCTTTTCCAGTGGAATTATTGTAGTTGAGTCTTTGGGAGCTCGAAACAGATTCCATTAGAGAGACCCCATGACATAGTGCTATCTAGATTCTCTTAAAGTCTATGTGCACATTCAGGGAGAGAGGGCGCGAGGGCAAAAATGGCAACGTCGTCAACATAGCCAAAGCGCCCGATGGAAAGGCGTAAACCGTCTTCCATAGCCCGGAGAAATAGGATTGGAGAGACTGGCGAGCCCTGTAGAAGACCACATTGGGCTTGAAAGGTCGAAGAGGAGGTATCTTCAATACAGATTATGGATTCCCTTTCTTCCATGAAAGATACTGCCTAATAAATCGTGTTCGATAGCCATCCTTGGCTCCTGAGTCTAAAGCAGAGTCTACCTTTTTGAGTTCCTTCAAATGTTCCCTGAACATCAACAGTCAATATGCTGGCTACTCTTTTTTTCATCCATTCTGTCTAGATATCAGCAGCGGAGCGAAGGTGGTCGACGCTACATTGGTCTTCAGTGAGCTCTCGGTGTTGAAGAGCAATAAATGAAATTCGCCGTGCTATTAGCCGCTCAAGACCTTTACCTAAGCATAAGAGGAGGGCGATTGGTCTATAGGACTTAGGGGGGGCGAGATCTCAGTTTCCTGATTTCGGGAGGATTATCACTGTAGGTTTCATGAAGGCTATAGAATTTATCCCTGACCGAATACACTGGCGGAAGAGATTTGATGCCCTGCTGCCAATTATCGGCCATGCGCGGCGTTGAGAGCTTAAAGTTATTTTGTCAGGCCCAGGAGTTGTAGAGGAGATCTGGCAGCATGCGCGAAATATTTCCTCTTCTGTAATTGGAGGCCATGGAAGATCAGCACTGTCAACATTTGGTGTACTGATAGGTATGTCGTCTTGGGGCAAAAATCTACTCAATAAAGCCAGTTGGAAGGTCTGAGCTGTTTCTCCAGAGCTAGATATGGAGCTGTTTGATCCTATAAGAGGGGCCATAGGACTAGTTGTTTGATCCTATAAGAGGGGCCATAGGACTAGTTGTTTGCTTCTTGTGCCATGTAGTAATTTTATACGCCTCTGTAAGATCAGATAAATCGTCAGTATTTCCATGCCAGAACTCTTGTTTGACTTTTTTGTCGGTTTTAGCAAATTGGTGTCACGGAACGTATAAAGGTAACATCAGGATCTGGATGGGACGGGGTAAATAACTTTGTTGTGCGATTCGAAGAGTAAATCTAACTATGTACATGGAAGTCTCCAAGTCCCAACTTCGCTGAGCCATTCCTAGGACTGAGTCCCGTGACAATTGGTGGGGTTCGATTACAGGATATCGGCTGTGACGGAAACCGAGTTGGTTGTGAATAAATCGATTTATTAAACTATATGAGGAGAAAAGAGAACTCTAGCTACGACTAACAGGTATTTATAAGAATTGGTCCCCTTCGTCAATCTCCAGACTGATGACTTATCCTTAGGCACAATACTTGCTACCCAGCCACGCATTGCCAAGTGTTACTTAGTTGTAGTAACGCTTCGACCTCCTGACTAGTAGTGCCGCCTAGTTGTAAATATTCCCAATAATCCGCTTAGGTATTCACCTAAGCTCTAATAGCGGTCAAACCGTAACATCGGCCTTGTAGGAGTGTTTCACGTCGGGTAGTTCATGTAGACTGAGCTGGCCAACACGAGACCTTAAGGTTGTTTGTTTGTTTGTTTATTAATTTAGTTCCTAGGCTATACCCGTTATCCCCTAAGGGTCAAAGACCGATGTTCACAGCCAAGATCATATCCCTGATAAGCCAAATTTGATCCCACCGCTTGAACCATTACACAAATAGTAGCTAGTATAAAATTCGCACTGGAACAAAAATTCAACCTTTAAAAACCAAACTCCTAACCACAAAACTATCCAGCTCTGTAGATTTACCAATCTCTGGTTCGGAAATAAATCTCCTCGACTTGTCTTCCTTCCTGTCATATCATCTGTATGACTAATTTATATTGTCCCCGATGAGATCAGAGGACGAATTTGTAGATGGCAACCCAAAACAGCAGGTTTCCTTCTCAAAGATTTTGAAAAATTCGTGACACTTTGGCCTGAGAAGTTTTTGGATAAAGCCACTATGTGACGATCTCCCTCTGAGTCGACGCGTGACGTGAGCGTGTAGTCGACAGTGAATAAAATGGGTAGGAGTGGTCTCCTCCCCACAGGCGCACTCCATTATAGCGTCCAGATTGTTGAAACGGCGATGATGCGCCGCGAAATTGCCATGTCCAGTACGAGCTGCAATCAGTTTCGGAGTAGGAATCTCGAAAGTCCCAGCTCAGGTGGTTTCCTTCGTCGCATGAGCAGGTCGAGCTTGCAATATCGGGGCGGGCAAGCTTCGTTCCACCAATCGTCGAGTAACGCCTGCCGCAGACGATTCATTTGGCCATAAAGAAATGCCAGAGTGATGGATTCTGGATGCATTTCCGGGCTCGGCAGCATTCGTAGGCCAGACCTGGCGGCCGAGTCGGCTTCCAAGTTACCCTGGATTCTTGAG